CAAAAACTTGTGCTTTAAATATGTGCTAGCGATGGTTTCGAAGGACTTGCTACTTATTAACCAAACGGTAGTGAGAGGCAGGTGCTGCTGTCGTCCCTGTTCCCCAGGTGGGGAAACTGAGGCACCGAGAGGTGAGAAGCCTGTGCAGGTGATGGCGTGGCTAGTGTTCGGGATGCAGCCCAGGCAGCCTGGCCTCAGCATCGCTGCCCGCAGTGGGGCCCTCGGGACTGCGGTGCGCATGGGTGAACGGGAGGGGGGTGGGGCGACTGGTGACATTGGGGTAATAAGACCTAACTTATCCAGCGCCTGGTGACAGAGCAACAGATTTACCTGGGCTTCCGGTACCAGGCTCTGTGGGTACATGGTAATACACCCACTCTACAGAGCAGTAAACTGAGGCCTAATGCGGGCAAGTGATTGCACCAGGCCTCACAGCTCCTCTGAGGCAGAATCACAGTCGCAGCCTGGCCTGTCTGCCTCTAACCCCCGCACCTACCCACCAGCCGCACCGCCTCTGCTTCAGTGTCGCTTATCATGTTGTAATGTTCTCATTTAGCAAGAACAAGTGTGAAATGACCCAGCTCCTCGCTGACTGTGCAGTCATCACAGCTCTGCAGAACGGGGGCTGGTCAGCTCGGCCTCTAGGGGATTGGATGGGGTCAGGTAGGGGAGAGGGTTTGGAAGAGAAAACCTCGTTAGCCTCACTCCTCCCCAGCTTCTAATTCCACCTCCCAAGGGAAGACAGCTCTGGTCCCTACAGACATCGCTCTAAAACCACCAGGGCCACCCCACTGGTTCCTTTTGCTTTAAGCACCATCCCGGGGACAGCCCTTCCTGGGAACTCTTGCCCGAGTTGATCATCAGACCAGCACTCGGACGGGAGACAATTTCTTCCCTCCTTTCAGTGCGAATTTTCTTCTGCAGCGAAAACCTTTGAACTCCATTCTTTCCTTTTCTATCCACTCTGTCTCCACATGTTCCCCGAGCCGGTTCCCACATGGCTTAAACATACAACATGCCCAGAATTTTGCAGGTGAGCCCCCCTGTGATTCGGATCTCTCTGTCTGTCTCGAATTCTCCCCTCCCTTCCCCTTCGTCTCCCCGCCCCCCATTAGGCACATGGAAGGCCTATGCCACCTGTTAGCATATTACATCACTGCCCCCCCCAGACCACAGTTGCACCAAAGGCCTTAAACAAAGTCCTCCTTCTTGTATTGTTTGCACTCAAAGAGTTGATATCATGCCAACTGATGTCATTGTATGTCTTTGTGTAACTGCTATGGCAACTGGGCAGGTGGGGAGCCCCCAGCTGATGTCATTGGGAAAGGAGGTGTAGAGACAGAATTTTAAAAAGCTCCGGGCTGCTTTCTTCTGCGTGGGGGGTTTGCTGGCGCGCATTTTTTTTAACCAGCCGCTTTTGAGACAAATTACAGCTTGAGTACCCTACGTAAGAGGAGAGCATTCTGGTTTTCTCCCCCTACCCCCTTAGAAACTTCTTTTGAATTCGTTTTAGTTGTTCTTTCCTCTCATTGTTTATGGAAAAGTGTAACAACTGCCTTTTTCTTTGGGGGAAAAAAAAGTGAGTGAGGTTCCCATCCCGGAATCAGTGTGGAACTGTCTGCTTGGAACATGGTAGGGGCCAAAGCTGGGCAGGTTTTAAATATCCTTTCAGCCTCTTTTGTGGAGCTGGCGATGGGGGCAGTGGGTAATTTCAGTGTCTTTAAATGCTTTCACTAGTGAAGTGTTTCGGGTTTTCCATTCCTTCCGTCTACTTTAAAAATGATCTCTTTGAGCCCAGATCAACTCCCCCTGCCCCATGATTTCATAGCAGAATAATAATATGTAAGGGCAGCGTTTAATTCTCAAAATCAGTTAAAATGAAGTGATAGCTCTTGCTTTTCTTTGCAAAAAGAAGAGCGAGGTTTGACCCTGACAGAGGAGTGAAGTGATCCTAATATTACCCCTCGGCATATGCTTGGGGTCCTTGCCAGACCGTAACATGTGACCTCCCCGGTGTACATGGCCAAGTCCCCGTGCGCTGGCTGTGAGCAGCCCCGACACTGGATCCCCGTTACAGTCTGGAGCTTCCTGCTGTGGTTGCTAAAGATGAGCCTTGAAGGACATACAGGAGGCTCGGAGGCCAGTGGACAGATAGACTTCCTGTCCTTGTTTCACCACAGCCCCATCCTGTTCTCGCTCTTGTTTCCTGTTTTACCTCCTGAAACCAGGGAGGCTGCCGTAAAGCCCCTACCGAGCGGGGAGAGGCTGTGTTTGGGTAGCTTTCAGCTTATTGGAGATTTCCAACACCTTCCTCTTTGCAAAGGAAAGGCCAGAGTGCATCTGTTTCTGTTTGATTTGAATTAGAGCTGATTTGGTGCTATAGCCCTTCCTTGTATACAGTGGGGCCTTGACTTACGAGTTTAATTCGTTCCGAGACCGAGCTCGTTAACTCAAATTACTCTGTCAACTCAATGCAAAAAATCGGCCGAGAGACAGCTGGTATCTCAAAAAACTCGTTAGTCGGGACACTCGTAAATCAAGGCCCCACTGTATTGTATAATATGACCCTCATAATAATCCTTTGGGCTTATCCACATGTGTGATACAACTAACAAATATGAAAGGAAACTCTAAGTTAGGAAATTTCTGGATCATAGTTTGCTTAAACAAGTATTCCTTTTTTTTTTTTTTTTTGCATAGTCCTTCAACTTCTGCTCACTATGTATGGTGGATGTTTTTGAATTGCCTTTTTTTTCATTTAATATCAAACAAACATTCTCTTTGTTTTCCTCTTTTTTCACCACCTTGAGTGGCTACATAGCATTTCATTGGGTGATTATATTAACTCTTCCCTTAAAATTGTTTTAATCTTGGCCTTTTCTATAAAATAGACAATGCCGTAGTAAACATCTTACATATGCAGCTGATTTCCTTCAGCTACATTCTCATGAGTAATGCTCCTGCGGTTGAGGGGCAGGCCTGCATTTTAAAAATGGAGAAACTGGTACACTTTTCAGCTTTTTACAGGAGACCCATAACATTTAGGAGGCAGGACAAAGCCTTAAGCTAGCTAAAGGTGTACATCAAGCATGTCAAATTCAAAGGCTGACACGGGCCAAATAAGGTTTAAATCTATGTGGGCCGCAAAAAAACAAAGCTTCAATTTTCATAGAAATGTAGGTTTATTTCGATAGAGACATGCCAAATACAAAGAGCTGAAATAAATGAGTCATCGTTAACATAAAATAATAGAACATTTTAATAAAAATATTTTTTCTTGAACGTTAACTTACCAGACACTGAATAACTGCACAAATTAATAAGTATAACGCAGATAAACCTATTTTTCCTGTTCTCCAAAAGCAAAATATTTCCCATTGTGCACACCAAACAAGCCAGTCCAAGACTAAGGACGTGGCCATCGGCTGCTAAAATATTCGCTGCTAGTGTTAGTGGAGAGAAATGGTGTGCCTGCGCGTAAGGGAAATGAATGCTACACAATTACAGTAATCAGTCATTAGCGAACGTTGTAGTTTGTTATTAATTAAGAAATTTTTATTAAAATTTTTCTTACATACCGTTATATTGGCTGGGCCGCAAAGATATTCGTTGTGGGCCGTGAGTTTGACATGCTTGTGTTAGAGGTTTCCTGATGGAAAAGTGGGTGCAAGGATCCGGGCTGCTCCCACACTGCCTCCTGCTGGAAATTGGGATTGAAAACGGTCAGTGAAATACATGGAAAATATCAAAAAAGAAAAGGAAAACTCCCCCCCCCTGTATTTTTGTCTTTTCCAAGCATTTCTCTGCTGCCCGGGCAATCGTAGAAATAATTCTCATAGAAGTAGCAAATCCCTGCTGAGTGCTACCGAGTGCCAGGCAGCGTGCTGAGTACTTCACATGTGTTCATTCATTCCAGGCTCCCACTCACACCAGGGGGTAGATGCCCTGACCCTCACTGAACAGGTAGGAGAACTGAGGCTCAGAGAAATGAACTGCAGCAAGCGACAGGACTAGGAAGGGGCGGGACTGGGATGAGAGCCAAGGTCAGCGGGTTCTTCCCAGGTCCCCGCTCATGGCCACGGTGCTGGGTCGGGAGGGAAGCTGTCGCTGTGGGTGAGGTGAGCTTACCACGGGTGCCAGGCACATGCCCGCGGTGCCGAGATGCTGGCAGAGGTTCCTTGCCCGAGGTCATCGCGCTGTGCCTCCGTCAGCTCCCAAGGTGCAAGGTTCTATGTAGGCCACCGAGCACGTGCTCCGGGCGGCAGGAGCAATTAGCTGCCGGGGGAATGGCCGGGTGCTGCGTGGCGCTCTTTCCAGGGGAACATGCCCCAGTTTGTATAAAAAGCACATTTCTAGTACCGTGCGCAGTGACAGCATCCAAAGCCTGTCCTGAGTCTCCAACTGGACTTTTAAAAATATTTATTTTTCTAATATATTTTTTATTTTTATTGATTTCAGAGAGGGAGAGAGAAACATCAATGTTGAGAAAGAATCATTGATTGGCTGCCTCCTGCATGCCCCACACTGGGGATCAAGCCTGCAACCCAAGCATGTGCCCTTGACCGGAATCGAACCTGGGACCCTTCAGTCCACAGGCCGACGCTCTATCCACTGAGTCAAACCGTCCAGGGCTTAAATTTTATTTGATAAAATATATATACATCTGCAGAAAACGCATGCTCCTGCCTGGGCGGTGTGGTTCAGTGGTTGAGCATCGACCCACGAACCAGGAGGTCACCGGTTTGATTCCCGGTCAGGGCACAGGCCCAAGTTGTGGGCTTGTTCCCCATTGGTGAGGGGTGTGCAGGAGGCAGCCGATCAATGCTGATCTTTCTCTCTCATCGATGTTTCTATGTCTCCCTTCCTCTCTCTGTAAAATTAATAAAAACATATTATAAAAACAATAACAACAACAAACCACCCACTCCTTCCTACCGGGAAGGTGGCTGCTGCCCACTTGAAGGCCTGGGGGCATCATTCTCGCTGTGTTTGCGTTCTAGGTGGACTCAGCAGTTTTAAGCAGAACCATGAAAACCTCTGTGACAACTCCCTCCAGCTCCAAGAGTGCCGGGAGGTGGGGGGCGGCGCCTCCGCGGCCTCAGTGCTACCTCAGTGCATCCCCACCACCCCCGACATCGAGAACGCGGAGCTGACGCCCATCCTGCCCTTCCTGTTCCTTGGCAACGAGCAGGACGCTCAAGACCTGGACGCCATGCAGCGGCTGAACATCGGCTACATCATCAACGTCACCACGCACCTGCCCCTCTACCACTACGAGAAAGGCCTGTTCAACTACAAGCGGCTGCCGGCCACCGACAGCAACAAGCAGAACCTGCGGCAGTACTTTGAAGAGGCTTTCGAGTTCATTGGTAACTACCTCCCCCGGGGAGCTTGCCTCTTCCGCCTTCCTTTCCCCTCCGGCTTTTCCTTTGATGTCAAGTTCAAGATGAATGTCGGGGTGTTAAAGGAAAGCTGCTCGGTGTGGTTTGGGGGCTCTGCTGCCTGGCGTGGTGCCCAGGGACCTTACCTTCTTTATTACTAATATCTGAACCAGGTCATAACCCACCGAGTGTACTGGGTCCATCAGGGTGAATAGAAAAGGGCAGGAATTCCACTTGCCTGGGAGGTGTTCAGCTGGAAACCCTCAAGTTCTCAGTGAGAAAGTGGCAGGGGTTAGTCGTGATGCGTTCCAGAGTATAATTTCTATGCAAGAATTGGTAGAAGGCAGGACAGTGGATTCCAGAGCTGGTGCGGTGGCTTTCTGGTCTACCTCGGCACCTTGCAGGAAAGAAAACAGTGACTAAACTCGCCCACACCCCCCTTACCTTGAGTTCAGTGGACTTGCAGTTGGTAGAGCCTCTTTATGTGAAGTGAGGCAATGCCATGGCGAACATCTTTCCCATCACATCAGTGCAGAGAAGAGAGAGGCCTGGAGGCGGGGGAGTGTTTTTCCCTCTCCCTGCTTTGTCTGAAACATCAGGTAGCAAAGGGCGTGTATGTGAGCATTGGTGAGATGGTACTCGATTTCCCTAGACAGTTCACCCCAGACTCACTGAAGTAGGAAGATCAAGGTGTGTAGCCTGAGTCGTTCCCAAGGAGGAAAATTCTAGCAATAGCAGGCCTTGATCTCCAAAAGGAAGCGATGGCCAGCCTAACCCTAATTCTACCTTTAGTTTTGCTGCCTCTATAGCCTCAGACTGTGGTAACGTTCAAATGATCATTTGGGGAACACCTGGCATCTAGCAGATCCTCAACAATTTTTTTCAAGTGACTCTAACCTTGATCGCCACAAAAGGGTGACCCCGTGCTTTTCCTAAATATGGCAGCAGCTTGTTACTGGCCTGTGTCCCGGGAAGAATGCTCTCATGTCAGGTGCCCCTCCGTTAGAAAAATGCCTTGGGCTCAACAGCCAATTGGGTCTGGTGGACTCGCTGTAGAGTTGACAGCGCTGGCCACTGCCCAGCTCACTGCCCCGCTGTTTTCCTTGCTAAAGTGCCTTCAATGCAGGACCACGGAGTATTCCGCCTGGAAGGAAATTCTGAGTGGGCACCGAACTCAGAAAAGCAAAATGACTTCTCCAGGGTCATCGGAGTTTTAGTGTCAGTGAAGGGACCAGACCTCAGGGCCCTTTCTACAATAAACTGGGGCAGTGTTTACCATGCTCTGTTCGTTCCCGCCCGGTAACACGTGGTGCCAAGGGACCTTACCTTCTTTATTACCAGTATCTGAGCCAGACCTTGAGCACGGAGGAAGAAATAGTTGTTGTCATCAGGCAGATGAGGAACTTTCTGGTTGGTACATGATGTTACGGCTGCAATTTTTCTGACTTAATTCCAGTTGAGGGAATTAGGAAATTGTGTTCCTTTAGTGAGTAGCATGCAATGTGCTTCCTCTAAGAGGACTGCAATCAAAGCGCCCTACGTTCTTGTAGGGCGTTCACTTACCTGCTTTTGTAGAAGGAAAAACAAACACGCAGCAAACAGCATTTCACCTGGAAAACAGTTCCGTACCCCAGCCTGCGTAGCACGATTGTGTTTTCATTGTTAGATCGTTGGGTAAACTGAAGTCCTATAGTCTTGATCTAGGAAAAACACAGCAAGTTTAATAAACACAGTAACACTCACTGAGAGTCCAATAGAAACTAAAAAGAGTCTAGGTTTAGGGTTTATGCCAGTTTATTTCTGAGTTGGGTGATATTATACCCATGGTTCAGACAGAGGGATTGAGTCTCAAGGTCACTCACCTAATGTTTAGTGGAACCAGTGATCAAAGCAGCGCTTTGTAGCTCATCTTCTTACCACCATGCACCCTAGTCTTGGTGTGGCGGTTGATACCTAGCATGTGCTAAAAAGAAGACATTAAAAGAGGGAGATACTTTCTTGAAATACTTCTGTGAGAATTAAGCCTGGTCTGTAGATTTTTAAGATGGAAATTTACAGGACGCTTCTTTTCTTGGTAGTTGTAAGTTAAATCACGACTCTCCTTACCCTGTTGTCCTTTCCTGTTCTTCATCTAACTCAGTGGTTCTCAACCTTCTGGCCCTTTAAATACAGTTCCTCATGTTGTGACCCAACCATAACATTATTTTCGTTGCTACTTCATAACTGTAATGTTGCTACTGTTATGTATCGTAATGTAAACATCTGATATGCAGGATGGTTTTGGGCGACCCCTGTGAAAGGGCCGTTCGACTGCCAAAGGGGTCGCGACCCACAGGTTGAGAACCACTGATAACTGGTGTCCCTTCGGGGACACTTTCTTGGGGATGCCCTTTAGTCTAGACACATCCTGAGGAACCCGTTAGGCAGTGCCCACAAGCTGCTCTGGGCTTTTTAATGTCTCTGAAACGTATAAAGTACGGGTGCACACGTATAGTGCAATTGAAACTTCGTGGCCCATGCGCAGAAGTTGGTATTTTGTGGAAGAGCCACACTCAAGGGGCCAAAGAGCCACATGTGGCTCGGGAGCCGCAGTTTGCCGACCACTGGCATAAAGAACTGGTTTTTCCTCTCTCTCCGAGGCAGGAGAGACTTTAATGACTCTAGTTATGACAAGTCACACAGTCTGGCAATTGGAATTAAGGTCCTGGATCAGGAGGGTCTACTTGGTAGCTTGCTTCGCATGGAAATTAACTGTTGTGGCTTTCTCGTCAGTCAAAGCCATCACCTGTGGTGTACCCTGTTCCTATGAATAATTCCTTCACCTGCTCTTCTCTTTAAATGCAGGAATGTAGCTTCTTGTTTATGCAGCGATTGCTTTTCGCCCACTCTGGAGGTTGTGACATATACACTGAGTGGCCAGATGATTATGACCACCCCATCAGTACTTCATTGACACTTCCCAAAATACTGAATTTTGAAAACTTCCTAAGCAAATACTCTCAAGGTTTTATTATTATTTGCATAACTAATTCACTTCATTGTACTGATGGGGCGGTCATAATCATCTGGCCACTCGGTGTACATATACAGTGAGCTAGTAAATTATACTTGGGTTTAAAACCATTTTAGTTTATTCTTCCTCAACAAAATATGGCCTGGTCAAGTCCAGAGGAAAGTGAATTCACTTACCGTCTGCCTGTGTCCTTGCCTTCACCTCTTGCCGTTCTCCCTTCTCCAGAGGAAGCGCACCAGTGTGGGAAGGGGCTCCTGATCCACTGCCAAGCCGGGGTGTCCCGCTCGGCCACCATCGTCATCGCCTACTTGATGAAGCACACGCGGATGACCATGACTGATGCTTATAAATTCGTCAAAGGCAAACGACCAATTATTTCCCCAAACCTCAACTTCATGGGGCAGCTGCTGGAGTTCGAGGAAGACCTGAACAACGGGGTGACACCGCGAATCCTTACACCAAAGCTGATGGGCGTGGAGACGGTGGTGTGACAGCAGTCGGGACGGTCAGGGTCACTGGTCTCTGTTAGGAGACAGAGAGAAAGGAGAGCGGATTATTTCTTTGCTTTTTCTTTCCTGTTTTTTTTTTTTTGTTTTTTTTTTTAAGCTGGGGGTAAGGTTTGTGAACGGAAACAAACTCGTTTAAAATCTTTTTATTTTTAACCAGTGTGAGAAGAATTTAACTTTTGGTGCCCATTGAGATTTACTTCCCAGGAACTGATAAGGAAGATTATTATAAGGATCTCTCAACTCTGGCTAAGGAAGTGGGTTTTTTGTTTTGGGTTTTTTTTCAAGCCAACAATAAACACGTAATAAAACTTATTTTTCCCCCCTTTCCTTTGAAGCTATTTGTAGAGTTTATGATTATATAGTCTGTGCAGGTTCATAGACCGAATATACACTTTGTACCAATTTTAAAAAGAACCAAAAGACAGTAGAAAAGACATTGGGTTATGAAGACCTGGATCTGCCGGGCCATTCACGTAGAAAACAGACCCACCCCACCAAGCCCCGACCGGCTCACTGGTGCCGAGTGCAATCAGGGCAGCGTAAGTGGTCTGCGGACCCTTCACGTTCCTGAAAGAGACAAAGATACTGTTGATTTTGTGTGTTTCATACTCTGGATTATTATATTTTTCCCCTTTCTGGGTTTAAGAGATTTTTTTTTGAACTAGCAAGGAACTGACCATTCTACCATATGCCTTCACTGTGCAATACTAGGGTGTTTTGAGTGTGCAAGCGAGTTAGAGCGGGCAGCCAGATGCTAGGCAAATAGTGCAGATTTGCCAGCGTGGAGAGTCAAGAGAATTCAATGAAACCGATTACTTTTCCTTCCCACCTTTTTCCTTTAATTTTTTTTTTTTTTTGGATTTGATTCTGGTTACAGTGCCATAAACCTTGTTACATATGTATATCAGAATGTTAAAAAAAAAGACAAAAATTTATTTAAAAATATTTTTCGCAAAAAACAACAACTGGGTGTGTTTCTGTTGATTTGTGTAAAGGTTTATTTTCATTATATAAATGAAACTCATCTTGGGACGTGTGTCGTTTCCTCCTCTTTTCCTCAACTCCAGATCAAGCATCTCTTACCTCTGGTAACTGGTCACGTAAGTGGAAATACACACACATTTTTATAGGGTTGAGGAGGTGAAATGTTCTCTGTTCTCATCGTGATGCAGAGGGAATGAGCAAGGAAGCAGAATAGCTCGAGGATGGGCCTTCTCAGGGGTCACCCCTATCCTCAGCTCCACCATCTCCTCCTGCACATTCAATTCCTCTCAGGCCTGGAGGAGCTCCAAGTAGAGTCATGTTAAGGAAGGAGGGGTTTCCACACCAGCCTGTGAGTTTTGGTGATCAATTAGGTCCCTGACAGATTGATTGGTTAGAATCCCAGGATCTCCCCAGAGGCTATTTGATAAACATTTGTGACAATCGGCCGTTTAGGGTTCCTGGTGGTCATCCCCACCCCTCCATCGCCACTTGCTCACTTGACATTTTTAGTGACATGGACCGTGGAGGGTGCACCACAGCCAATTTCTAGTTCCTGCTCTTTCACCAGCAAACTGGAGCGGCTTCCTCAGACACAGCTTCCTGCTCGCCCTGGTGGTGTCTTGGCTAATCCATATGAGACATGGCTTATAGTCCGTGGATTCCCAACCCATAGACGAGGGGGTGGGCACAGCGGAGGAGTGAAATCAAATGTTTTCTACGTTTTATGAAGACAGATGTCTAGAGGGACTTGGCCTTAGGGGACACTCACAGCCACTGACACTTGCCTAACTAGTTACCTACTTGAAGAATTCTGGCGTGTCCAATTCCACATGACTACTTTTGATAGAGTTTTGTGAATGTTTGCTTACAAATGTTACTATAAATGCAATATTTTTGACATTTTTAAAAAACAGCTTTTCTACTAGAAGTAACTTTACCTCTTATGAGGACATTAACAGAAATTTTGAATTATTTGCATTGAGTACAAAGTGTTAAGTGAAAAGTAAATCTCTCTCATGCTGTTTTCTATTCTTCAGACTGAGGGTTGGTGGCCGAGCCTATGTAAGGAGTGGGGTTGACCTATAATTCGTGATTTAAAATGTGGAATGATTTACTAGGCATTTCTTTAAATTGTTGATTCTAAGTCCAAATGTGAAATTTCTGACAGAACGTAAGACTTATTCCCTGTCTCCGTTTTCTTTTAAAAACCAAAACAAAGAGAAAAAAATCAATACAGTTTTTCTTTGGTTATATGAACATGATTTATGTTTTTTGAACTTTGTGATTTTGAGAGAAAGACAGGAACCCTGCCAGCCAGTATACCAAGAATGCTGAGAGAGACTCAGAATTCAGGACTTTTTTTTTTTTTTTTTTTGCTAATCGGCTCTGAGTTACTTAGCCTCCATTTCTTCCTGAGGCATGTTAACCAGTTTGTGAAAATAATATGGATTAGCCAAGACGTCACTCTAGAAACCAGACTCCCCAGGCCTTAGGCCTCCCTCGGTGCCTGGGAGCCTCAGGGCTGAGCTGGGAAATCGTGGAGTATTACCTTCCCGAGAAAGCCAGCCTCTGACCAATGCATGCATCATGCTCAGAGTCCAGCAGAGCCTGTCTGCTGCTGAATGAACAGAATGACTTAATCGAATGAATTTATAATATATCTCCTGAGGAAAAAGAAACACAGATACAGAAGGCATTGCCGTCTAAAGTTCCACACAACAGGAGCTCTAGGTCCTCTAAGTTGATTTCAACAGTTAATACCTGTGCAGTGAATGCATGCTAGCCAGAATGTAGAGCCGTGATGGCGAACCTATGACACGCGTGTCAGAGGTGACATGCGAACTCATTTTTTTGGTTGATTTTTCTTTGTTAAGTGGCATTTAAATATATAAAATAAATATCAAAAATATGTCTTTGTTTTACTATGGTTGCAAATATCAAAAAATTTCTATATGTGACACGGCACCAGAGTTAAGTTAGGGTTTTTCAAAATGCTGGCACGCCGAGCTCAAAAGGTTCGCCATCACTGATGTAGAGTTCGCATTTCACAGAAGGGCTTGGGCTAGCTACTTCTAGATGAGGACAGGAAGGGCACAGGGTAGCGCAGAGAAGGTGACACGCACAAGGCAACGGAAGGTACCCAGCCCAGCAATCACATCTGTTGACGGAAAGATGAGAGACGACCTTCCGAAAGGGTAATCAAACATGGGAAACGGGAAAATGAGAGCTGATAGTAAAACAAAAACTGTATCAGAGTAAAAAACCAGGACCTGACTCACCCTTCAGAAGTTGACGGAGATACGACGCTAGTAAGTTGCTCTCGCAAGCCCTTCTGGGAGGGAAGAAGTCTGGTAAGCCGGCGTGAATAGATATGAAGAACATGGCTGTCACCTTGTTTGTGAACAGACTCCTGTAAATAAGCCACAGCACATTGCATTTGTGTTTTAGTCCCCAAACATGGAACATCTGGCCTCAGGAAAGAGGAGTGGGTACTTGCTTTCAAGCGCTAATTGGAGACGGTTATGTATGGATGTGGGCGGGAGAGAGGGTCAAAAGTGAGTATTAAGGATGGATGATAATACAGTGATCAGAAAAAGTTTCCACAACAGATCTGTCAGTGGGTGGAAGACTTCCTGTCCTTATGGAGGGGACAGACTGAATTCCAGGCTTTTGGGGTTCCTGATTGGGCAGAAGCAGGAGCGCTGAGAGAGGTGGAATGAGGGGTTTATTCCAGGGTTCAGACAACTGGGGTCCAGAGGAGGAGTCAACGGGAGCGTGTCGCCTCCATGTCTGCTGATGACAAGTCTCGGTGGGTCAGCAGGGCTGGTGGAGAAAAGCTGGGTGTGAAGTGGAGGAGAGCAAGGATGGAATCGGGAGGAAAAGCTAGAATTGGAGTTTGCCTTTCACCAGCCTCCACCATGAGGGTGACTTTGGAGAAGGACCCCCTGCCCTGAACACGGACCAGGTACAAAACTTGCGAAATTGAGGGAGGAGTTCTGGGAGGAGCTCTCAGAGCTGCACCCACAGCCATGGCCGCCTCCCAAGTCAAGGTGAGCCACCCGGTCAGTGAACGGGCACCAGCTGCCAGAGTGCCTGGCGCCCCGGTGAGAGGGCAGTGGTCGCTGCTGCACGCAGGCCTCCCGTAGCTTGTGCACATCTCTCGGGGGCTAACCTCATCCCAGCGAGAGACAGGAAGGGGGCGTCTACACAGTGCGGTTTCGGATTGAGCCAAGTCTATGCTGGACCACAGCTCCAGCGTCCATCCTTGCCAACTTGGCATCCATCTGCACTCCTGCGGGCCACGCGTAACTTCCAGGCAGACGTTAGAAAATGAGGTTTTCACCTAATAAGATGCGACTATCACTTCTGTGGTTGAAAACACGCCCAACACTCTCTCCCAGGGAAGAGATGTAGCCCCACGTGTTACTCGTATCCTTTCTTGGATGGTATTCATTTCCCTTGGGTTGAGATCCACTCTCCCCTTCAATATCATGCAGTTGAAGGACAGGAAACACAAGGATATTATAGATTGGACTGTGCTTGCCAACAGGGGTGCTTTTGAAATTGTGTACCCCACACCTTGTCAATATGATCTTACTTGGAAATGGGATTTTTGCAGATGGAGTTTTAAAGATGTTCATATTGGAGTAGGATGAGCCCTTATCCAGTTACTGGTGTCCTTAAAACAAGGGGGGAAAATTGGACCACACACAAAGGGATGAAGGCCGTCCGATGAGGGAGGCAGTGATCAGGGTGGCACACGACAAGCCAAGGACAGCAAAGGTTGCTGGGTACCGCCGGGCACGGAACAGATTCTCCCTCAGCAAGGCTAACAGGGGGTCTTGGAATCCTAGCTTCCAGGTGGTAACAGAATAAAGTTCTGTTGCTTTAACCCACCCCGTGTGTGGGACAGGAGAATATAAGTACGTCCTTTGCTCAGACATACTTCTTTCTCCTCTAGTGCACAGTGATTGCGTTTCACCTCCAGAGTCACCCTCATCCCAGCCAGCGCATCACCCCATTCTTTGCCTGTTGGTTCTTCAGCGTGAGGAACACGAAGTAGCCAGCAGGCAGTTTCAACTTCCAGTTTCATGGAGCCATTAGGTCTAGCAGAAGCATTTTTTCCCCTTGGGAACTAAGTCGTCTAGACAGTACCCCAAAGATTCTTTGTTTCTGTCGTTAGCTAGCTTCAATCTGTCTTCCCTTGCTTTGGGGGGCAGGGGGAAATACCGCTGACTGGAAGTGGTACAAGGGGCAATGCCAGGTTCAGTGATAGAACGGCAGCAAAGATAATCATTATTGTAATTACAGCACTCTGCATTTCAATGGCACTTTCTTTCCCAAGGTCTTCGAACGGTTTTCTGAATATCTCTTTGGAATTCAAAAGCATTCACTAAAGAAGACAGAGCAAAATTTAATTACATTAAGTTTTTACTCTGCCATCCAATTCAATTCATACAAAGTAGACTTATTGGAAATGGAATTATTGACCTACGCATGCACATATTTGTGGCATATTTTTTTCCTTCACCATTTATCCCCTTTATTCCCTCTTCCACCTCCCCTTACCCCCTCAATCACCACATTGTTGTTCATGTCCATGAGTTCTCTCTCTCTCTCTCTCTCTCTCTCTCCCCCTCGCCCCATTTTTTGCTCAATGTTATGGTGTATCTTTGACAAAGAAAATACCATTTTTTTTCCTCGTCCCCTCAGCAATAGCGTGAGAAAAAATCATAATGATTTTTTTATTGTCCATGTCCATGAGTTCTCTCTCTCTCTCTCTCTCCCATTTTTTGCTCAATGTTATGGTGTACCTTTGACAAAGAAAATACCATTTTTTTCCTCGTCCCCTCAGCAATAGCATGAGAAAAATCATAATGATTTTTTTTAAGTTGTTCTTGTCAGATGTGAGGTTTAGACGCACTGCACTGCCTCAGTGCTGAGCGGAGCTATCCTTTCCAACAGGCATGCAGTCCAGGCTCCTGAATGTCAGGGTGCTTTCCTGTGCTGTCTCGGCGGTACCCAGCAACCTC